TCAGAATCATAGAATCATATGCACTGTAATCTAGCTAGAAAATCTTGGAGAGACACAGCACATGCTGAGGTCATTCCTGATGCTCTTAATTGGCCAGAGAAGGTCAGCCCTGAGTAGCCTGAGGCAACTATTCCAGACCAAAAATGCAAGGAAACAAGATGTGCATCTTAATACTGTAAACTCCCTAAGCAAGAGCCCACACCAAAACTGTGGCTTAATATGAGGGAATGAAGCCCTGTGGTGAGACAAAGAGATACTGAGTCTCTCAGAGGAAGAAGCGGAAGCCTCATTGCTTGAATAATTTAAATGCTAAATAAATAATACAAATGCAAATATACTAAAGGGAACAATCCACTGGCAAGGCATTGACTAGATGGATATATTGATGCTTTTTGTAGTTCTGTTTTCATGACCTGCACATGTTAATTCCAAACTGATCCTAAGTCATAAGGTTCTGAATCCCTAGGCATTCTAACATAGCGTGTAATAGCAGCAATGTAAACTGTAGGATAACTGACTTAACTTTTTATGAATCCTTCCAAAAAAAAGTGAAGTTGTTTGCTGTCTTACTGTTTTCCTGTGTGATTTTACCTTTACTAGCTTAGGAAATTGACAATAATTTTGCTCTTATAGATTTTGTATTTATAATTCATATTCTTGTCACCAAATTACTGTCTCCCATAGTGAATTACATGTGAAATCTACATTGAATGAAGTCCAAAGTAAGTACAACATAACTTTTTTTATTACTGATTAAATTAGCTGTAAAATTAACTAGAAATTTGTAATCACTTTTTGGACTGTAATTTGGTGCAGATACTTCTTTTGTGATACTAAACACCTGATATATTTTTTCCCATTGAGATATGCGAAATCCTGAACACTTGTAAGACCCATATACAGACACAATGATGATGTATACCTTAAGGCCAAATATAATAATCACCTCTGTGTGATCTCATTGACATCAGTGGTCTTGGCAGAAATAGGAGTCTTTTTTCTAGGCAGCAAAAGTGAAACACAAAATAACCATAATCAGACCTAATTCAAGGTAAATTTTGTAATAACAATAATGAAGTATTGCAATTTTGCTGTGTAGGCAGCTGTGTAGACCGTGTGGCTGTAGGATTAGGAATGATCTCGTGATCCTGGGGCACCAGCACAGTGTAAGCAAAGGCAAGGTACTCTGGCAGCACCAATTGCCACCACGCTTATCCTGTGCCTCTCTTAGTTGCATCAGCAGAGATTTGCTATTTGGCTGCTCATGATGTTCAAGCAGCTGATTTCTATCTTCTCCAACAGAGGTAATTTGGCAGTCTGTTGTCCCAGGCAACTGCATACTTTGCTTGTGCCTAAAGCACAGACAGTCATAATCCAAATGATGATCATTATTATTGTAAAGGATTAAAACAAAATCTAGAGCTATAACTTGAAATTCTGGAAAGGCATTAAAAAGTAAAAAAAAGACAAGAAAGCAAGACTGATAAAAAACAAAGGTGATGATAAGATTCATCAACCTGTCAAGGAATCACAAAGGCCATCTTAGCACAAAATAGGATTCTAAATAAAGTTTCAGGATTTCACTCAACAGCTCTGAAGACACTCCCAGCCTTATTTAAAATTGTAACCATATGTAAAATAGATGGATGAATAAATTACAGGGGTATACAGGATAGACATGGTAAAAGCAACACAAATATCTTATGCTAGCTGGAACAATGGTGAGGCAGAACAGAAAGAAAGAAGAAAAACCCTAAGAACTTTCAAGACTTACCTGTATATTGCTCCAGTACAAAAAGTATTTATTCAAATAGGAATGAATGCATTAGTAAAATTCTATCTACAGAAGGGCAAACATCACAACAAGAATGAAATGGAAAACATAGGACTTTGAAAAATATTTCATTTCTCTTAGGGGGAGTTATCTGGGGCATCTGGGGCATCAAAGAGGAAAAGACACAGTCAAGTACAATTAGAGTGCTGGACAAAATCTGATTATCTGATTGTCTCCTGTCTCCTTTTTTTTTTTTTTTTGTTCCCACCAAAAAATATGATGGGAAATATGATTGTTAAATGCCAAGATGTTGAAACAGATCAGTAACACATCTCCAGGCACATATTCCTCTAAATTCTCCTAAGGCACTTGAGAAGGAAGTAGTTAAAATGCTGGTGTAAACCTTGAAACCACTATTTCAAAATCAGCTACTGCCCTTGAGGCCATGAAATTCCATATATAGTTTTGCTGTGGTGCAGCAGTGCTCACTGGGGAATTATCACTGGTCCGTGGTGAGGGTGTTACCACGAGGAGCAATGCCACAAGGGGGCAGAGGACAAGGGATCAGCCATGCTGGATGGGTTTTAGCTCCGGAGACACCCTCCCTCGGTATTTTGGACTCCTGCAGAGTTAGCAACTGTACAACTTTATAGATAAAACATATATCTCCATGACATTCTCCATGTCTTGCATTACACTAGAGATGCACATTTACAATGAATTCTAACTTTCCCACTTGCATGCATATTTTCACAATCAAATGCAAATTCTTCTATGTTACTTTCTCTGTATTTGTTGCAAACTGTCCAGTTTTAATATATTTTCCTCTCTCACTTCTCTCACTATTGGCTCGCTACAGAAAATAATCAAGCATTATGCACAGTGAATATTAAGCACTCCAGGAGCAGTAGATCAACTACAAGACTGCAGGGGTGTAAATCACCACAATGAAAGATTTTCCGACGCCACCAATTGCTCCTGTAGTTATTACAAACCATCATTCTTGTGAATTCATACCCTGCTAAAAACTACATCTCAGATTTTGTCTTTTAGCAGCAGTTATCTTGCTTTGGCTGGGGTTGGCTTGATCAGGTTCTAAACCAACCGAGGTGAGGGCAAAACCAAAGAAAAACAAAGTGTACTCTGTTTAATATATGTTCATATAATCAACATCAGAGTTCAAGTTGCCATCAGGAGATGGAACAAAAAGGTTTTCCAGAGTCATGGAGTTCTGGTGCCTTCAGTTTTCAGACAAGCGAAGTGTGGCTTTCAAATTTAACATGAAAAGATGAGGCTTCAGTAAAATTTTAATTCTTAAAATTATTTTTATCTTTTACTTTTTACTTGTTTTCTTTCCAGACAAGCACCTAAAGCACTAGACTCTGGATTCTGCTGGTCTGTAGTTGATCTAGCTTGCTACTAACTGTTGAATACTAAAACCAAACACTGGTTGTTCAGTACAAGTCACAAGTTTATTGTGATTATTTTCTATTGCTGGTATAGAAACATCAAAGTGCCATTTTTAATGTAAAAATGAGAGTGAAGTCATTGCTGGCCATTATGTCTTGACTAGATATTAGGTATTATAGAAAGTGTTAAAATAAATATGCTTTTCTCACTTGTGTACACTCTTTCTACCATTGTCTTTGGGAACTTGAATAGATTTTCAGGGAAATATATGTCCTTGGTAAAGTTAAAGAGGAAAAAAGGAAAAATCCAACCTGCAGCCTTATCCACTGTTCAAACAAAATGAAAAGTAGCTAAAAATATTTTAAGAGATTGATTCACTAGTGTTGATCAGAGTCACAAAAATTACTTCTTCAATTATTATTACAGAAAAAATACGTCTGCTTTTCCTTTGATTCATACCACTGAATACAGAGATTAAAACATTCTCTGTAAATAAGCAACACTCACTTCCTAGGATTGATTATGTACCTGATTACATATCACTTAGTGTAGCTGAGGCTTTGTAATCAGTCATTACTATGAAGCCATCTAAATACAGTTTATGTATATATAAATTATATTTTCAGACATCACTTACAGTTGTGTAAATCCAGGATGATTCCAGTGAGATTAAATTAATATAATCTAGAAATGTATCCATCTACTCAACAGACTGTGTCCCACCTCTGATTAATATAGAGGATGACACACGGTAACAGTGGAACAAAGGCCACACCTGAGAAAAGCTCACGGGAATAGGGAAACACCTGTTTGTGCTGCGGAAGAACAGGTGGGAGGCGGTGGTTCGCCGGCTCAATATCCTGTGCTTGCGATTACAAAGAACTGTGCTCAGGTGCCTCTCTTTTTTTTGCCCTGTGAGTTTATTAAGAAGCCGCCACTGCTTTGCACTACCCTGGAGATGCCTTTCCAGCATCGCATGGCTGCCCCCAGCTCCCTCCCTGTATCACCTCGCCGAGCCGTGCAGAACGCACACCGTTCTTCCTGCTGGGTAGTGCAGGAAGCCTTAATTACAGCCTGAAAATAATACCCGCTTCCCCCGGGAGCTTCCCCAGCTATTCCTGTGGGACGGGAGAAGCTGAGAGTAGCCAGGTGTGGGGAGGCTGGCCCTTCCCCGGGCCCGGCCGCGGGCAGCGGCGCCTCCGTGCGCGCCGGCGGGGCGGCTCCAGCACCGCGGACAGCTCCGGGCGGGCGCGGCGCCCCGACCCGGCCCCTGCCCCGGCCCCTTCTCCGGCCCCGGCCCGGCTGGCGGGGCGGAGCCCAGTCCCGGGCTGTAGTTCAGCTGCACCGGCACCCCCTCGGTGCCGTCCACGGGCCGGGCGAGGGTGGCCGGGCAGAGCTCATTCCCTGCACCCTCTGAGCGGAGCCTCGGCCCCCAGGGATCCCCCTGCCTCCCGGGAGGGGGTCGTGTGCGAGGGGAAGTCCTCGCCTGGGTCACGCTGCGGGAGGAGGGGGCGATCTCGTCCACTGGGGCGAGGAAGGACACGGAGGGCTCCGGTGGTCCCTTCCCCCGCTCCCCCATCGCTCAAAATCGACCCCTGTTCGCGCCTCCCCCCGCCCCAGACGGGGCGTGTTCCAAGCTCCCTCCCTCCCTCCCTCCCCCGGCCCTGATAGCGCCCGGGGCTCCCCGGCGGGCCAGGCGGAGGGGCCGCGGCAGGGCCGGCGGTGCCGGAGGGCGGACGCCGGGGCTACCGGAGGTGGCGGGCCCCCCCCCCCCGCCAGTGCCCTCGGTGCCCGCTGACCCCCTGCAGCCGCCGCGGTGGGGGATGTGGCATGTCGCGGTGCTGCTGGGGTGTAGCTCATTCCTGATGCCGCTGTTTGTCGCTGAGTTTTGAAGAGATTTATTGGCTGGCTCCTGCTAAACCACGCTTGAGTAATCCGAGCTGCTGCGCGCCGTGGTGAAGCCCGGAGGGGGGGAACGTCACTCCCTCTGGCAGCGGAGCAACATTAGTCTTCCAGCCCTCAAACCACCACTACAGCGTCGGAAACTGCCGGGTCACAGCCATTTGCTTTGGAAAATTGGCGATGTTTGGTGCTAGAGATCGATTACCCTTGTAATCTTCCCCCCCCGCCACCTCCTCCTGCTTACCCCACCCCTACCCGCCCCAGACAATAGCGTCCGAGCTCCTCAAGGAAAAAAAAATATAGAAAAGAAAGCAAGGAGAGAAAGAAAGAAAGAAAAAGAAAGAAACTGGGGAATGGATCTGACTCCAATAAGAAAAGCGTGTCTCTAGAAGTGGTGCTAATGGGAAGAGATTTCCGATCTCCAGAGGACGATGATTTGTCACAAAGGGTAGCTGGCTCGGTGCTTTGGGCTGGAGCCGTGTAGGAGATCCTTGGAGAAGTCATTGTGCACAGAAAACCGAAGACCTGTACAAACATGCCTGTTCGCAGAGGTCATGTGGCACCACAAAATACATTTTTGGGTACAATCATTCGAAAATTTGAAGGGCAAAGTAAGTTCTCGCTTTCTATCTATTTTGGTACAGTAGTTTGATTCTGCTTGTGACTAAATGGACAGCAGCTCCAGACTATTTTAAGTTTGTAGCTTGAAAAGAAAACCCGGGAGGTAAGGAGGGGATCCCTGGCAGGAGTAGCATTGTTTTTGATCTAGAATACAGATTACCAATCTGAATTATTGGCTGCTATTTTGGGGAAGGGGGGTGTTGGGGCTTTTGTCTGCACTATTTCAAGGTATAGTTTTTATCTTTGACTGTATCCGTATTGTATAGCTATAGAAGTTATATCTCTTACCTTCTTCTGAACCGGTGAGATGGCTCTAAAAGCAGAGTGTACAATCTTCCTGCCTGTGAAATGTCTAAAAAAAAAAGCTAGATTTATTGTTGTTATGATTGTTATTGCTGTTATAATTGCCTTTTCAAAATAAAGCAGAACAGTCTGACTTTGATTTAGAGGAAGCAGATAATATGCAGAAGAGTTATTAAAGAGAAAATACTCTCTTACCTTGTTGTCATGACTGCATTTTAATAGAGCTGTCAAATTTCTCTGTTTTGTTTATGTAAGTCTAAAATATCTATCAAACCAGTGCAAATGCATCCTCAGGAAGAGTCTGTGAGATCTTTTGCAATGCAGCAGCTTACTACCTGTCAAGGAGGCTGAAGCTGAAGTGTTTTTCCTGGCAGGAACTGTGAGAAGGAACACTTGATGCTTAAAATGAATTTCATTTAGAAACAATAGTTTTATGTATGCACATTGATTAAAATATTTAGCATAATTTTAGTATCAGTCTAAGTGCAAACCCTTACAGCTAATTCCAGTTTATATACTTCCTTATACTTAAATCCACATTAACATTTGTAATATTTATATTATTTGAGAAAAAATTAGAGATGGTGTTTTTAGTCCTAATTTATCTAAATGTTGAGTCAGTGTTGCTACTCCAGTAAAGTTTTTATGTCGTGTATATTTTTTTAGGTAATAAAGTACTAGCTGCTAAATAGGCATGTGATACGGAAAGTTCAGCCTGATTGAAAGACAGTAGAAAAAGTATATATATTCTTCTCTCCACATATTTCCCTGTTTCCCAAACAGGACATATTTAAAATTTTGAAGAGCTGTACTGCTAACTTGGTGTCATGTAAAAAGTGTTTTATAAAGCAAGCAACCTACTAGTATAACTAAGCAAGCAGAAATTAATGTTATTAACAGTAAAGGTAGCAAAGCTGTACATTTATAACTACAGTGGGAATAAGTCTGTTATAGTGGTAAACAGAAACAAATGAGAGTTGAAAACTTCTGAACCTTTCTGTCAGAGAAGAGTTTGGGAAAAGATGATGGACAGAAGCACAGAACTGCAGCAAACTGTGCAAAATATTTCCAGCATCACAATCATTTCATGTACCTTCATACTCCCCCCACCTTTTTTTTAAAGGAGTATTTTTTTATTCTGTTCTTTTCTAGATAGGTTCATTAAAATACTGACTATGAACTTATTGTCATTTAGCTAATGAAAATCCCTCAAGAGTAGACTGAGATGGTTGGAGCTTACCCTAGTAAGCCCTTCACTGGAGTAGAACCCCCTCCCGAGGTCCCACTTCTCCCCAGAAGAGAACTTTGCATGGACTTGCCTGAGGTGCAACTGACAGGGCAGCGCTCATCACCTGCACTTCACTGAAGCTAAAAAAGAAAAAATATTGAAGTCAAAAGGAGATTTGCAAAGACTTGCATAATCTGGTTTTATTTCCTTAAAGGACAACTATCTTTGTCTTTGATATGTTCCAAATTGATTGAAGTTTCCTTAAAAGCTATGGCTCAAATTAGCTACATCAAATGACTGAAAATCTCTGCATTTCAGGCATTCCCAGGGAGAAGAAGGGTTGTTCACCATCCATCCATAAAATCGACACTATATGAAATGTTGAAAGAGTACTAAAAAATGCATTACTTTCTTTTATTGCAGATAAAAAATTCATCATTGCTAATGCTAGAGTGCAGAATTGTGCTATCATCTACTGCAATGATGGGTTCTGTGAGATGACTGGGTTCTCCAGGCCAGATGTCATGCAGAAACCTTGCACCTGTGATTTTCTTCATGGGCCAGAGACCAAAAGACATCATATTGCCCAAATTGCTCAAGCACTTCTGGGGTCAGAGGAGAGGAAAGTAGAAGTCACCTATTATCACAAAGATGGTAAAGTCTGGTTTTATTTTCAAGATTTGTGTGTGTTTGGTTATCAGTTGATTGGTAAAAGAAGTGTGTATGTTGTGTGGGCCAGACCCTTTGCTGGAGTGGTGGTGTAATTTCTCTGAAGTCCAGTGAAGTACACTTGTGTGTATCAGTAAGAGAATCTGCCCCCAGAGTGGTGGGTGTATGGAGTGTATCACTGTACACTAACTCTAGCAGCTGAATGAAGCTAGCACGGTGTTTGCAACTGTTGAACAGAAGCTCTCCTCTTGGTTGGTTTCAAGCAGATGTAAATCTCTTAGGTAATCAGCACAGAGGAACCATACCTTGATTTAAATGCAGTATTTTACTGGGAAAAGTACCACGAAGTTAAAAAAAAAATGGCCTATCATGAAGAAAGCCTTAGCTTATAAAGAAAGGGGCAAGTCTTTTACAGAGCTGAGATATAGTGAAGTCAGAGTGCCTGCAACTGAACCACTGAAGTTGTCCTAAAATTGTGTTGTTAGAATCAAAATTTGGGGATGGCTGCACTATGAACAGTTTCCCTGTAATTCAGTAAAGAATCAATACATGCAGAATGGCTAAATCTGCAGATGCTTTTTTCCTATTAAGAGAACAAAATGAATAAATGCTTTTGCAGATTTAAAAATGCATACACATGAAAACTAATTACGATACCTAATAGTTATAGGTAGAGTTTTGTTGTTGGTTGTTTTTTTTAATTACCCCAAGTTATTTACAGAAACATCCATCTTTCAAACAAGTCCAAATAATGGATAAGTGTGGTGTACCTTATTTTGTCTCTTGCTGTGTACACTCTTGGGAGAAGGAAAAGGAAATTCATATTCAAATGCTGAGCTTAAATTAGTTCTGGAGAAATGCCAGTGTGTTGTTTGCATCAATTTTAGAATCACATGCAATGTGCTCTCATTTTAAAGTCACAGAGTTAAACCCTGTTCTCAATATTTCTGTTGTTATCTCGGAGAGACTTAAATAATATTATTTTTTTCATAGGCTGGTGTAATTCAGATAGGACTCAGGCCAACCATTCTACCCACGCTACCAATATTTAAGCATGTTCTTCTTAGTAGATTCTTAGTAGAGCCCTTTATTCTTAGATCTGGTTTGGTGGTCTGGAGCAGATTTTGGTCAAGATTTGTTGCTGTAGCTGTGCACTGAACACAGATTTCTCAGGAGACCTGACACCGTGTGTCTTTTACACATCTAGCCTGTGTTTGTGTTAACTTGGTGTGTGTTAAAAATAATATTGCAAAAGGAGAATGTCATTGCTAACTTTCACAGCCACCAGCCTGGAGCACAGTTTTGAGATCTGGTAGTTTAAAAGTGCTGCAGTCTCCCAAAACATTAGGAGGGAGGGAAGGGCACTTAACTAAAGCACTGCTTATCTGTCAAATACTGGATATATGTATATATATACTTTTCTAAAATGCTGCATTCTGGCATCATGCACCACACCATAATCTGTTTGAGGCAAAGCAAACTAATACTGTCCATAAAAACTGCCATATCTTTTGTAAATACTTTTGAATGCTGAGTTATGGATTATTTAGCATAAACAATCTTATGTATAAAGGTTTTCAGTAACTTCACTTCTGTGAATAGTTTCCTTAAATGCCTAGACCTTATGTTTGAAGGTTAAGGAATTTCAAAAGCTACAGACAACAGTTCTAGGCAAATCTGTATTGAATTCCTCAATGTTTTACCTGTCTAAATGTGAACAGGACTTACCACATGCACTATATGATCAGGTAAATTTAAACAAATACAGGGGAATTATATGGAATCATAAATATAATTTAAAATATCAAGTCACTGATTACAGGCAAAAATTGACAAAATACAAGATTAGTCTGACACTCAAATTTGGTTTTGCAATATATAGCATATATACATATATACTGTGTATATAATAACAATATACAGAATAGTGATACATAACGAGGACTTTCTCCACTTTGTGAAGCAAAATGAATTTCAAGAATTTTCTTAAAACTTAAGAGTTTAGTGCCTTGTTAGTGGCTCATTTTTTACTGTGTGCTGTGAGGGAGTATGAGAATATTTTGAGAGGTCAATTCTAGGACAGGTATAAATGTAACTTTCTCCGTGTGATTAACCCAAGTTACTCCAGTAAACTACCCACTGCTTGAAAGTTTATCTGATATTTAGTTTCACAGCAACCCATTGTATAATATTTAGCATAATACTAAGCATAAAGAAGAGGAAGACAACTCATGAAGGTGTGTATCATTTGAGGTTCCACTGACAGGAGGTTCCGAAGACCATATTACACACTCTTAATAAATGCCCAGTGACTGGTAAATAAAACCTTATTCCACATCATACTATCATTTACTCTGCATAAGCCACTGATTATATTAAAAATATTGAAGTAAAGCAAATGTCAGTGGGATCACTTACAGAGCTAATCTGTCATCAGAAGTCCATCAATGCAGATATCAGAAAGGGAATCACTCTATAAATAATGCTTTTATATTTTAAATACCACCTCACATAATTTTAAAATGTCATGGTTTAAAAGGAAATTCTTGCTGTAGAAAAAGGGTATCGCATATGTACTGCTAATTAGGATTCTGATGCTCTATTTGTCTATAGTCCACTTTTCTAGATGAAAGTGCAAGATTTTGAGTTTAAATGTCTTGATGATGCAAGACTGAATGCGCTTGCTGTTTGTTCACTGCTTTAATCTTTTGGCCAGATCACACACTCAAAGAAGATGGGACAGAAGGATGGGAACAATTTTGTAGCAAGTTGATTTTGAGAAAATGACTTGAATCTACATTGCTTTAAACACAACAGAGAGAAGATACAGTGATCAAAGGAGAACAAAAATTCAGTGTATCATGGTTTTATGAATGTGTAATTTGGACTGGGCCCGTTTCCCTTTTCACTGTGCAGTGTGGGGAGGGTGCAGAGAAGTGTAGAATGCTTGTGATAATCTTTTGTAATTGTTTAGATGGCATGGAGGTAGGATACCAGCATTATTTAGGCATCCATCAGACCCTGTCCCAAGCACACCAGTGCCCTGTCTTCACTAGCTCCTCTAGCAGTGTTTATGTCAGCATAAGATCATTAATATAATCTACATTTGCTTTTAATTTCTCCTCACTCCTTTTTCTTGATAAAAGGGTATTGATGCAATTCAGGCAAAGTTCTACTTCTCTGTCCTGTTCAGTAGTGCCACAGTAGGCAATTACATAGTTACCAAAATAATAATTTCTGAGAAAAATGGTTTATGGGAACAGATGTATGCCAAAACTAAGGGTCCAAATTTATAGGTTCTCATTGCGCAAGAAGCTCCGCTAAGATCACTGGATCTACTCATGGGATTAAAGACACAGTAAATTTCTTTTTGAATGTAAATATCCCTTTTTAGAAAGAGCAGTAGATAAATACACACAAATCACAAGAACTATTATTTTGAAACAGATTTTTTTCCAAGAATTGCCCATTAGGCATTAGCATCTGCTTAATTCAAAAATTACACTGATATCAAAGCAGCAGTATCATATTCTTCACTATCTCACTTCATTTTCAGTAATCTTATGGCTATATGATCTGAATTATACTTGAAGGCAAGATATTGTTTATACAGGATATCAGTTCTTATTTTAATAAAGTTATTTGTGATAAAAATGTTTGACAGCTCTTCCTTTGAGGACTCCATTTTGCAGTTTAAGTCATTATTGCATAAATCATTCTTGACAGATGTAAAATATTGCTTGAGGTCGTAAAGCTTTGGACATAGAAAGTATAATTATTTTGGGATTGAGAATGGATATATAATAATCAGAAAGGATTGTATCAACTAAATATTTTTTACTTCTTACTACATGCTTTGTGTAAAGCAATGGACTGTGTCTGAGCTTGCAGATGATACTTGTTAAAGGGAGGTAAGGAGACCATTTAGGCTTACCCTATATGCATCAGGTATTCAAGAGATGAGAAAAACTACAGCAGAGTGTATGTTTGAGCAAAGACAAGATTAATTAATTAATTGCAGAGCATGTACAAATCTCACAAACTACTTGCCACGTACTCAGTTTCAAAAAAATGATTTGCTACAACTGACTGCAAATTAAACATATTTGCATTTTCAAAACACATTTCCAAACTAATGTTTTAAGGCCTTTTAAGCTCTTTTTTAAGGATAAGAAAATAAAAAAGTAAAAAATGTTCAAACATATTAACAAAATAAAGTGAAAATGGTATTGTTTTTAATTAAAAAGATAGATTTAGTAGCTAATCATCAAGACTTCTGTCAGCATAGGTGTTTTATCACCTGTTTGTAAGAACCTGCCAATCAACTAAAAATACAGCTGAAAAGAAAGACCCTTGCATGTGCGTCAAGTCCCCTTAGATTAGCTCAAGCATGTGGGTCAGCAAGCACAGTCTTGACCATAGTTCCAATTCCTTATCCAGAGCTGTTGAGAAAAGTCAGTGAATCAAATCACTGTCTAATACTCTGCTGCTGTAGGAGTCCTTGATTTAAGAAATACTATCTGACCACATTTTGATAAAGAAAGTGTTACCGCCTTCCCCCCCCCCGAAAAAAAAAAAAAGCTGTCAAAAAGCGCTTTCTTAATGCAAGTCCTTTTCCAGCCGTCCTTAAAAAAAAAACAAACAACCTTGGGTCAAACCCAGAATGTTACTGAAGCTGTTAAACTATTAGGAATTAATGAAGCCATCCATTCTTATATCTGTAGGGGCGTTTTTACCTTAGGCTTCAATACTTGTCCTGCAAGAAAAAAACTGTCTCTTACGCCATTCAGTACTGGTGATTTTGTAACAAGGGCACCACCAACAGGGAGACGATACCCCAGTGATCCAAATATCTCATTTTCCAATCCCCATTCAGATATTGCTCCTGTGTCTGCCCAGAACTGTGGGTCACTTCTTATACACATTTCATGTGTGATATCTAATGATTACGATAGCACCTCTCAGGTACACTAAGTAGGCTTGTT